TACAAAGATATTAAGTGGTAGAGGCAGGGCTCAAACCCAGATCTTCATGGCTCTGAAGTCTGTTCTTTAACACTTTGCCATACATTCAAATTATCCCACAAAGTGGAATAAGTAAAACTGAAATATTTAATTGCTAGTAACTAACTTGTTTGCTTAAAATAGCCAAATGTATTGAATGATCATTATGTTTTATATGGCTATATTTTATACTGTTTTATACAACATATATGTTTGTGTTTGTTTTGCTAACTGACACACTTTACTTAACAATTAAGATTTAGTTATCTTGCTATTTGGTATAAAATTGAAAAACAAGAGTAACTGAGATTTGATAATCATTCCAGATTAATGACATAGGAAACAGTTATCAACTCCTAAGGTTGAGGGGGTGGTGTGTGGTGCCAGTGTAAGTCTAATGCCAAGTATTAAAATGCAATTACTTGGTTTTTTTCTTCCTATTACGTGAAATAGGGAGTGGGATGTGTAAAATATACATTTACTCACTTGCACTCTATGCTTTAAAACTTGTTATCCACCAAAAAACATAAACAACTGAGCACTAGTACATTCATGCATTACCAAGAGACCACCAAGATGTCACTGTTGTACACTGTAATCTGAAACCACTGGGTCTAAAATATTTAGTCTGCACTGGACAAACTGGGCCACGTGAGGTCACCCATCATTCACAGCCTAGCAGATCACATGTCCCTGAGTATGGAACTCTAGAGCAAATCTTGTCAATGATCACAATGGCATAAATTTTTTAGTGGATGATAAATTAAAAAAAATCTTTACAACTCTTCTGCAATTCAGACTTCTGATAAATGATCTGCTATATTTTTTATCATTCTATAATTTACCAAATGTCATGTCCTTGGTCAAGGGTGCACATCCCAATTATGCCACTCTTTTTATATAAAAATAAGATATACTCATTGTGATTTCCAGAAACAATGATGAAAAGGCAAAGTCTGCCTATACTTGTTTCTTTCATTTTATCTTAAAATTTAAATGTATCAAAGAAGTTTCTCATTTTGGATTAACCCCGTTAGTATAGGATCAAGCTGCCAAAATAAAGCAAAGTTTCCTAAATTTAATTTTAAAAAACTGATATTTAATATTATAATCACTAAAGACAGCAAAGTGTTCAATAATGTGTCACAGTTACTCGACAGTTGACATGTAACAATACCTGTCCTCTCCTCAGATCTTCACTTGGGGGAAAGAAAAAAACCTGAAAAGTGGTAAAAATGAAACAGGAAAAGGAAAAGAAACTTAATAAAACATTTTTTTCAAAATCAAAGATCACACTTTAATAGAATGTTTTTCCTTACAGATGAAATATAAGAAATCTAATATTGATATAGTGGAAACATACAGAATCCAATATAATCTTTGAGATTACAAAAGGTTGCACATCCAGTGAAGATGGTTTTCAAAACAAGGGTCTTGTTTTTTGTAAATATTTATGTAGTTAATATTTTCCAATGCATTATGGGTACATCTTATTTAAAGGAATTCAAGGTAGCTATTATATTTTTACATAGCACATTTCTATAAAGCAAAGAGAATCTCCTTAATTTTATTCTTTTTGAAAATCATTCATATTTAGGTTTACTAGAATTTATCTTTACTAAAACTGAGAAAGTGTCACTTTAAGTCAGGCTTAAGATCCAGTAAATGTCCCTAAGAGCAGAGGCTGGAGTTTGTAGAACTGTTAGCCACAATCCCTTGACATCCATGTACTGAACAGTCACATATTCAAAAACACACTACCATCTTGAATAATTCATTAGAGTTTTGAATTAACCTGGAGCATTTAGGAAGCTATTTTGCTTTTAATCTTGTACCAACCTTGACTTTGCTTACATAGTACTTCCTTTATTATTCTAAATTTGCTTCTTTAAACATTTGGCATAATTCTAGCCTATCATGTTCTGAGCCATGTTTGAGTTCAACCACAAGGGTTTTTTTGTTTGGAGCACCATGAGACCCATATGAGGTCAAGAAGACTTATAAAGGAATCAAGAAACTGCCTCACTTTTGGTGAGGTACTCAGTTCTTATAAGATTGCTCATATTTCAATTTAAGATTAAAATGATAAGAATAGAAATAAGACTGACAATTACCCTGAAGGTCAGGAGACCTTCGTAATTAACTCACTGGTCATCTAGGGGGGCCTATATTATGTATATGCCAGGCACTGTGTCAAGTGCTAAGGATATAAAGAAGAAAAAAAAAGTCTCAGCTTTGAAGAATTCAGTCTCCTAAGGAAGAGACTGTAAATGTAAATCTCTATAGAGAAGGACCCTAAAATCTTTTAGCCTGAAGAGAAACATTTTGGTGTTTTTACTTGATGACTTTTCAAAAATGATTTTACTCTAGTAAAATACAATTACTCACTGATAAGAACTTACTGGGGAGAAGACGGCATAATATTAAGTCCAATATTAGACATCCAAATGAAAATTTTCAGCCTTCTCCTTACTGGTTTCAGTATTTTCAAATCTGTGTCAGAAGTAATTTACTTGAAACAGCTGAATAAGCAAAAGCAATAAAATATCTAAAGGCAATTTGTTAGAATCTAATTTTAATAAATCTGGACAACACTGGCTCTGATTGAAATACCTTATGCCAGAATTTCAGGAAAATTACTTGAAAATGGCAAGTTATGGAAACCTATCTGCAAGGTTCTGGAAACCATGACAGTAACTGAAATAAGTAGGCTTTAACAAATGAGACATCTTATAATACCATAATTGTTTCTGAAAAATACATGGCCTCTAACTATTGGCTTATTTGTTTATACTGATTTTTCCCACAAAAGATATGAAACATCTACCCTAGTATAAAGTAAAGCACATGAATTATATTCACCTGGCTTTGAATTATGGCTCTGCCATTTACTATTTATAATCTTTGTGCCCCTAACTTCTGAAATCAGTTTCTTAATCTGTAACAATGGAGACCAAAATCCTACTCTGTTGGGGGATTGGAAGGATAAAATGAAATAGCATGAGCACAGTATTTGGCATATAGTAAGTGCTAAATAAACGTTAGTTTTGTGTTTTCTTTATCCAAATGTATGCTGCATAGAAAAAGGATCAGGTGGAATCTTAAATGACTTTTTTTTTAACACATTGATAAATGCCAAGCAGAAATGTGGACTGATTACGAGTAGCAAATGTTAACGTTTGCATCTAAAAATCAGGCTCAAAGCAAATTCAATTTCTTTCCACAAGGTCGGCAGTTTGAGAACATACCTTTTACCTATGGTACTTAAAGCAAAAAAATTTTCTGAAGAAAAAAAAATGAATGAAAAGAGTACCGGACGCAGTATCTTTTCACACTATCCATTCAGAAGATGATTAAACATTCTAAATTTGATTTCCTTACAAAAAATTTACAATATTCGACTGGCTAACAATTTTAAATGAAATTTTGATTTCGCCAGACTTAAAAACCTTATTTCCTTAAAAAAATATATTTTTAGGAAACATCTATCAATGTGTTTTCCATGGAAGAACAGCGTTTCGTTTAGGTTTTAAAAATATCATCCAAGTCGCAAAATGCAAAGCACCAACCGTAAGCACTATTACAATTCTGCTTGTGATAAGGAGACCAAGTAAACATTTTACTTTATTCAGCAGTGGAGGTGACCAGGCAAAAAGTGCAAAGTGATTTGAACTGATCCCCGTCCCCCTCCCCCTCCATTCTACTCAAGAATGCAAGTGTCCCGCATCTCAGATCAAAACTGAGCCTCGGTCTTACTGACGTAACCAGTAACCCTATCCACCTCTCACACTGCGGAGGCCGGCAGGGCAGCGGCTGCCGCCAAGTACACCACTCATCAGAGCCTGCCCCATTCCGCCCCCGCGCTTCAGTCATGCTTTCCAGAAATGGGGTCACTCACTCAGTAACTATCACACACACGCAGCCTATCATCCTGTAATCCCCCAAAGTCCGCTGTGGGGATAGAAGACAGCAAAAAGTCAAGAAGGAAGAATCACAGACGCGCCACCATCAGGAATTGATTTTCCGCTCCGGAGAGGAGCGCTGATGCCTTGGAATGGGTCTTGTCTGGATTATTTTCACAGACCCCGAGTTGGTTCTGGGACAGAAGAGGCTGCGAAGAGCCGGGGGAATTCTGTCTGGCCCTGTTTGGGTATATCGTTTGGGTTTGGGTCACCAGGGTGGGTATCTCAGGGACGGTCATCAGATCCCGGGCGAGGTAAACCAGAAAGCCCTTTACTGCGGCCGCTGATCTCCTTGAATACCATCGTATCATCTCCGCGGACAAGAAACTCAAGTTAAACTCGAAGAGACGGGGTCCTCAAGCTCAGCGACCTCAGAAACGGGGCGGGGGGTGGGTGGGATGGAGAACCTCAAGCTTCCCCTTTTTCCTTCGCAGCAGCAGAAACTACTGCGGCAGATGGGAGGGGGCCCCAAAACCTCGACTGTCCTGCACCCCTTATCCGAACCCCCCCCCACAGGTCGCCACCCCTGTCCTGGGCCGTTCCTGCCCACGCGCGCCCGGTTCCCCAGAGTAACCCTGTCCCCTGACCGGACTCGAGAGTCCCCGCTCTCCAGTAAACCCAATCCACACCCCTCCCGCATCCCCCAAAGTCACCAGGGTCCAGGGAAGCCCCCGACCAGACAGGGCCAAACTTCCCAACTCCTCGCCGGCCCCCGCTCCGCGTCCTGCTCCCCCCACGCAAAGTTGATGAAAATCGGCTTCTTGCAAAGCCCGGGCGCCCACTCCAAACCCCACGCGCCACCACACCACAGCCCCTCTAGCGAGCGAAGGGAGAGGGGGTGCGGGTGGGAGGAAGAGAAGGGCAAACAGACCAACCCCAACTACCCAAACCGGAATCCCGAACCAAGGGGAGAAGCGAGCAGCAGAGGAAAGGGCCGAGTGGCCGGCTCCCGGGAAGAGAGCGAACCGGCGGGGGCGCGGGGAGGGGGCGCGCCGGCCCCGGCCGCCCGGCTGCACTCACCTCAGCGCTGTCGGATGGGCTCTCCACAGCCATCTTCTGCCACGGGTCCGCCAGCTGCGCCAGCGGCATCTTCCCCCCCGGCCCGCCGCCTTCACCGCCTCCTCCCTCCCCGCCCGCCCCGCGGCCGGCCCCGCTCCGTCGCCGCCCGAGCCCCACGGTAGAAGCGGCGGCAGCAGCTGCAGCAGCAACGGCGGCTGCCCGAGAGAGGGCTCGGCGCCGACACAGACCCTCGAACGCCGCGCGCCCGGCTGGAGACGCCCGCGCGCTGAGCGAGAGCCTCGCGCCGCTGCCCGGCACCGGGTCTCGCCCCTTTCTTCCTCTCCTCCTTCCGCCGCCGGGACTACAGCTCCGCCCCCCCCCCCCCCCGCCGGTTCCCGCGCCCGCTCCCAGCAGAACAGCGGCCCCCGCGCGCTCCCCCACTTCCGCTCACAACATGGCGCCTAAGCGATACCTGTCTCTCAGACCGAGGCTCGGCCGCCGCCGCCACCGCCGCGCGCACCCGGGGGCGGGGCCTGGGAAGACACGCCCCTAGCCGCGGCTCTCCGCTCGTCCCTCCTTCCTCGCCCCAGCTTCAGCTTCTGGGCCTCGCCTTCTTTCAGGAAGGGCGAGCGGAGAAATCTGGGGGCGTCGGCGGGAGGTGGGAGAAAGAGCGGGAAAGGAGGAGGTGCGAAAGGCTGAGAGTTTCTAAGAGCCACGGGTCCGAGCAGGTTGAAGGCTCCTCAGGGATGTAGAGAATAGTGGTCCCCACCCATCTAGGGAGAGACCGGCGAGGCGTAGGGGGTGCGGTACGGTACCAAGGACCCGGGGAGGGGTTGTGGGGTCTTTTCGGCCCGATTCTTCCGTGGGTTCATGTGGGCGCGCCGAGTCTATGGGCACATCTCGTAATGGCCCAGGACCCACCCTCTCCCAGGGTCATATGATGGGCATTCACCTGCCCCTCTACCCCCCACGATGGGGACACAGAAGGCTTCGTGTCCTGGAGCCGCTTGGGGCTTCGGCTCTCGGTTTGAGTCAAGGCTCTCCAAACGGACGCTTCTGTGTTATATTATTTTTAATATCGGGAATTGCTTCGTCTTGCAAGAGTCGACCCCCCCCCAACCAAGTCCGCAGAGCCCTCTGGCTTCAGGCGCGACCCTCCAAGCTAGTCCCCTCCAATTCCTCCCCGGTTCTCCGCAGCCTAAATCTTCACGAAGCAGAAAACAAGGAGGTTCTTTAAGGCTGCCGGTCTCGGCAGAGGTTGGGGAATTATTTTAAAATATCTTGGTGGCAGGAGCCCGGGATTCCTGCTTTTCTGTTGACTTTACATAAAAGATTAGATTAAAAATCAGGCTGGCGGCGAGTGGAGGAGGGGAGAGAGGGAGGGCTTCTAACTCCTGCCCAAGACAGGGAAGCCCTAGGTTAAGGAATCCCAATCCCCAGACTGCGATGGAGCGCCAGAAGACGGGGAGAGCGTGAAGGGAGAGGCCTGGACGTCTGGAGTGGGTGGGGGCGGCGGTTTCGACCCCATGTTCCCGGCGCCAGGTGCCCGGCGAGCTCAGTGCGCCAGGGCAGAATTGTGTAAAAGTCGCCGGGCTGAGTGGAAAGCTACCGCAGCCATTGGCTAACCGCCCTACAAGGAAAAGGAAAAAAAGTAAAGGGAAATCTCCAAGCCGGCCAGTGCTTCCATCCCCTCAGGCCTCTGCCCAGGCGTCCGGGTCCTCCCACGCTCGGCGACCACAGCGCGTCCCCCGCTGCGCTCCTATGCACGCCTCTTAACAGCTCCTTTCATCCTCCAGGGACCCACACACCTGGAGAGCCCTGGCCTTCCTCCCTAACGCAGGTGTGAGGATGAGATTAGAGCCCCACGCCTAGCTGCCCAGCCGGGTCTGTGCGGGCGGTGCAAGGTTTCTCTCTTGGCCGAGAGAGGCAGGTGTTCGTTCTTTCTGCTGCTTTCGCTGGCGCGCCCCTGGGCACAGGCTCGAGGCCCGGGAGCCCCGTGGCCACCTGAAGAGGCTCCATCTGTTCAGGGAGCCTGAGGAGGCGGCCGGAAATCCTCGCTGTGCGCCCTCTCCTGCAGCCTTGGACTCAGGGGGACAGCTCAGGGTTGAGCAACATCTGGGCAGGCTCAGCGTGGTCTGTGGGGTGGGGGTGGGGAGGACGGAGCTCGTGATTTTGTCACCTCCCCCAGCATGCTGATTCAAGTGCTGCAAATCCAATCTGGACCCAAACCTCAGCTAATTTGGCAGCCACCGTCTCAGTAACTCCTGACAGTAAAACCAGCCTGCAGTAGTTTGAAGATAAGCAATTGTATATCGTTTTGCATTTATGTACAAAGTGCCAGATTTAGCTTTCATTTATATTGCAAAGCACGTTACCATTCCTTACAGCGAAAAGAAGTCGGTCAGTTTGGTTAGTTTAAGCTAAATTAGTCCCCCCCCCAACGGTGATCAATTATTCCAATTAACGTTCTTTCTTTAGTAAAATCATACAGTTGAAAAGAGTTATCATGTGTCTAACACTGTCCAATGCTAAATACTCCACTCAAAGGGTGAGCCAACCTTTTTAAAATAAATCTAGTTGGTTGCATACTTAAAAGTTGATTTCAGTAGGAAGTTGATTCAGAGGAATAACTTTTAAAATAGCGAATTCATCTGAAAAAGTAGTGTGAACAGTGGTCACATTGCAGGAGTTAAGCATTAAATGAACTTAATAATGGGCTAAAGTACCACTCACTAGCACGGCTGTCCTGCAAATGGGCTCAAGTTGATAGTATGTGAATTGATTTGGCAAAACATTATTCTCCTTCCTTTTGCCCAAAAAGAAAAGAAAGCGATTTTTTTCTTTTGGTCAACAATAAACTTTTTGACTTCTTTCATTTATTAAATCCAAGAGTGGTGCAACCACTCACTCTTGCGGGGAAAATTGGGGAAAATCAAATAAGGCTGGGGGATTTGTCTTGCAGGTGGCAACAAAATGAGTTATTTGAACATAGACGGTAATCTGCCCTGAGCAGGATTACCTCCCCACCCCCCCTTTAAGAAAGGAAAACTCTTAGGTATTCAAAGAAGAGCTGCCTCTAGAGAGCACCTGTGCAGGGTAATATGGTAGCCACTAGCCACACCGTGGCTCTTGAGCACGTAAAACAAGGTTGGCTGGTTGCTTTTGAGATCACACCAGATTTCAAAGGCTTAGTACCAAAAAAGAATGTAAAGACCTCAGTAATAATGACAAGTTGATATTTTCAATATATTGAGTTAAAATATTTTGTTAAAATTAATTTCCTGTTTCTTTTTACTTCTTTAATGTTGCTACTATAAAATGTATACTTACATATGTGGCTTACTTGTCAAGACTGGCATTATAGCTGTACAGGGCAGTTCTGCGTTAGCATTTTCCTTTAACACTGAGCCTTTTATATGTTCCTAAAGTTCTGTAATGTTAAGAGATGCCCTCACATTCCATTGTCTTTTGGGGCTCCTCAGTGCAAAATCTGCAGAAAGGGTTGATTCAATTACCTACTGATTCTATACCCCTTCCCCCAACACACACACACACACACACACACACACACACACACACACACACACATCTCTCAGTCAGAACCAAGATATTGGAAAGTTATTACTTGAAACTACAGCAAAGGGAAACAGCAAACCTCAGTCAAAAATCTGGACTAGATTTCCAAGAAATCATTCCTGATGTATGACAGGACAACCAGATTTAACCTCCTCTGTCCCCAACAATTTCCTGCTATAATTATAACCTTTGTATACAAGTTTAAATGGGCATTTACTTAACAAAATAACATTTGTTCAAAAAAAATGGAGTTACATCAGTCTGGAAAAGTTACAAGATGACTAAACTATGGCTCATGGCACAATCTCCGCCTCATATACATCCAGTACTTCCAGTTATAGGTTTGTCCCTATGGAAAACCCGTAAAGTGTAGTCATCAGTACCTCTCTGAAACAGGTGTTATCCCTCTACATTATCTGAAACATATTTACTTTCCATACAAAAAAGTAACCACTCGAGACTATTTAACTATTTCTTTCCAGTAAGAAAGAAAGATAAAACTTGGGCTCGAATTTTATCTTGCATTAGACAATAATGAAACAAAATACATGGTGACATATTTTTTATGTGTATGAATTTCATCTTTTCTTTGAAATTTCCCAAGTAAAAATGATTAAGAATAGTTTCCTGATTGACACACATCTTAAGAGACAACAGATATTTCTAAACCTATCTGGACATTTTATTTGAAAGAATTCAAGTTTCAGAAAATGTAAGATCTTCTCTAGAGTCTCCTATAGATATAAAGTTCAATGATTCTGAAATTGCATGTGATGCAAGATGCTCATAACATCTATAAGGAACTAAGGGGAAGACAATCTATGATACAAATACTTGAAACGTTTAACATTCTTCATGGTAAGGCAGTACAGGATCACAATAAGAGCAGAGCTAGGCCTATGTCTAAACTCCAGGTTCCTTTACATCTCTAAGCTTCAACTTAAAGGCCTAGAACAGGGTCTGGTATGGAACAGTTGCTCAATAAACAATGGCAAAATAAGCTTAGTTTTCCTCATGAAAACAGGATAACATCGCCTCCCTTGTGGAATTTTGAGGAAGATTAAATAGAAATAATGTCCGGGAAGCATTAAGCACAGTGCCTGCCACATAGGAAGCATTCAATAAATGGAGCTATTGTTACCAACTTCAGAAAGGGAGTATTCCTACATACATAATATAATTCAAAGACTTTACTCCTAAAAGTTATTTCTTTCCATTTGTTGTGTGATCATTTAATTAGGGTATAATCTATTTCTTGAGGGCACTCTCATAGTGATATAAGACACACACACACACAAAATGATACTGTAACTTTCTGTGGAATTCAAATAAAAGAGCATGTAGGGTAACTTACTCTTCTGTTTTTCAAGCCACGTATGTTGAAATGCAAATGATTACAGGTCAGTTGCCTCACAGGCTATGATCAAAACTTTGTTTATGTAATGCTCAAAAGAAACTACAAATGTATGATTCAAAGTTAACATTACCTGACTCATACTTACGCAGTGAGGACA